GTAAACACCATTATGTAATGTATGCTAAAATAATAATTAAATAACTTACGTTTTTTCGTAAGTTACAGGGACGTCAATAAAAAACATACGTTTTTCAAAAATGTATACTTGTTATTTGACTCCAAGCAAGTATAAGTTTGCTTATTTGCCGACTTAGGACCTCTTCAACTTCTATATATACTTGCTTTTAGTCTCTCTAGGAAGTTAGAGCAGCCGGCCAAACAACCATAAATCAATACCTAAATATGTATTTCGTTTTTGTCTTGTTCTTCATGCATATTTGATTTTAAAAGTCTTAAGGGTAGATCAACTTTGTTCTTGAACAAAGAGATGAGATCTAGTCCCTTCCACTTTGTAGATCAAACGAGTTATACAATGTTTATGTGCTTTACTCTCGCTGCTACGTGTTGCAAAGCATGTTAGACTATTAGTTTTGATTTGATTCTATGTATTTTCTAAGTTCTATGTTATCGCATATTTAATCGTTTTAGGTTTTTTTCTTGATTGATTCTTCATCTTTATTTACGCTCAAGGCATGAACTGGCTTAGCTACCCTGGGACTGATATTAGGTTGATATACTCTCCAAAAACTTGTTATATCTCCGGCCCCAGTATTTGATTAGGTAAACATCTTAACAATTCGATAGGTTAGTTAAGGAGTTTAGTGAACAATCGAATCTTACACTTAAAACGTGTTTTCACCTTGTAATAACATGCGATAGTTGAGTCTATTAGGGTAGAAGACATAGAGATTTGAGCCACGATAGTGGGATGATTTTACATTAGTGATTTGAGTTCAGGAACAACTAGTATTAAAACCCTAAATCGATTGCTTGTGTGTTGCATATGTCTTGCGAATTTGCTTGATATCTTATCTTAATTGATCATATATCCCTTTACTTATTGCTTTGTTATTTACTTTTATAAAACCTAAAACCAAATAATATGTTTATTATTTTTGAAACCTAAAACCTAAAACCAAATAATATGTTTCGTAATTTACAAGGACGTAAATACGTTTTTTGAAGTGCCACTATTCAAAAATGTTACTTTTTCAAAATCTTATAGAAAATGCCACTTGTTCAAATTCATTTATTCAATATGTCATTGATGTTTGGGTTAACTATGTTGTATTAGTGTTTAGTTTTGAGGTTTAAAAGTTTGTTAAGTGTCAAAACTTT